TGTGGGGGAGGAGAGCATAGGGGAGCTGATGGGGCTGCCAGCTGTGGACCAAGCAGGCAGCCAAACAACGTTATAGCGAAGCATTGCACAACTTTAAATGGAGCACGTTCTGTAATTGAGCAGGGACGTAAGATCGAAACAACGTTAAGCAAGAGGGTGTTAAGTGGGGAGTTACTGTAACTTAACTCCATAAGATTGAGTCCCTAATCCATGAACTCATTTACAAAACTTTTCTTGAACATTACATAGACCTAACTTTGTAGTGTAGACCAAGCTTCTGTCTTCATATTGTCTCATACTATAGAGTTAGAATTTATAATCCCTATTCCATGATGAGATATCTTTGAGCTATAATATATCTTTAGATAGGTGTTTGAGGGGGAAAAAAAGTATATTTTTACAAATCATTGATTTGTATCCACCCTGGTAACAGGAAATGGATTCACAAACTTTTCCTGAGGTTTCTTCCCCTGCATTGGGCTTAACTGCCGGAACTGACTAGACTGTGCTGGAGTCTTGAATGGATTCTGGCTCTTGGCATAGCTGGACCTCCCTGATTGTATGTCCCCTGTCTCCCATCTTCCTTCTCCTTGCTGTTCACAGGAGGGGTCTGCATCCTGGGCTCTTCAGAGGAACCCATGGTGCTCTTCAGGGTGCTGGTGGGGTCTCTGCCAACTGTGCCAGGCAGCTTGTATTAAAAGTAGCAGATCTGTGGCTCAGCACCAGATCAACTATTGGGCCTGACTGGCCTTCTGGTATGCCTGCTGCAGTTCCTTTGCTTTCATGCAGCACTGCTGCTGATCTCTGTCACACCCCTTTGCCTGCATCCCCCGTGCAATCTGTCTGTCAATGTCCATATTTCCAGGACTGCTCCGTACCTGTGCTTGCACAGACTATTCTTCCCACAGGTCTAAGAAATCCAATGCCTCTTGTCTACTCCAGGGAGGTGCACGTCTTGGAGAATGTAGGCAGCATGGTCCATTGGGCACTTGTGTGCAACATGGAAGAGCTGCTAGGTGTAATTATCAAACTTGGAAATCAGGAAAAGGTATTTAAAAAATGTGGGCTTTGTACAGGTTGTGTGGGGTTCCTGGTGTCTGTGACCCCTGGGCAGTGGAGTTCACAGTTGTGACCAATGTGGTCAGTGTCTGGCATTGTGGGACAGCTGCTGGAGAACTGTTAAGGTCAACCTAGGTGTCTATACTTGCACTGCGTCAACCATGACAGGCTGACTTCCCCAAACAGCATTGCCATAATGGGGTACTTACATCAGTGGTAGACAAATTTTGAGCATAGACACAGGTATACCTAGGCTGATGCAAGGTGACTTACATAGACCTAACTTTGTAGTGTAGACCAAGCCTCTGTCTTTGTGGCTCTGTAAAATGCATTGTAAAATCATTGTTGGAGAAGTGCTTCCAACTTGTTTTATAGATACCTCAGCTAGCACAGAGTTGCCAAACTCTGGTCCTATCAATACAGGCTCAACCAACTGCTCTTAGTTTAAAAAAAAATCTGGTTTTGCTTCCAGTTGAAGCAAATTTTGACTTAAACCTTACTTTGAGTGGGTTGTTAAAAACACAACTAACTGCAACACACTGAGTTAGATTACAAGTCTGTGTACTTAAGCACCTAGTCTGACAAACTATACAGCAAATGTAAACTCAGTACAGAATTTGAGTTTGATTCTCTTAGTATTTTCAATACAGGAAAAAGAGGAAGATCATTGTGATTTGTTTAATGTAGAAGCTTTGTAAATGAATTAAGTAATTTTCATAAAAGTAAGATGAAGTTCCTGTCAAAATTTATATTATAATTAAAACAGTTGAATAAGATTTCTTACTTTTTCAGTTCTCTAACTGCATGACAGCTTTCCTCTTCGAATGTTAAAAGGTGTTTTCAATAAATTCCAAGGCCTTAAATACATTTTAATTACCACTGACTGTAACTTTTCCATTTCTTCCCTTCTAATTTGCTTCTCTAGCACAAAAATCTTCTGGCTTCTCCTGTGCCTTCAGAGTTAAATGGCTTGGTATTATGGTGTTTACAAGACAGTTTAGTAGCCTCTCTTTCTAAATTAGCTGTACACACTTGGTTCAGCCACTGTAAACCATCAGAAGCTCTTCTTCCAGTGAATGACATTAACTTGCAAAGATTTGGTTGAATGTGTGTGTGAGATTGAGCTCTTGTGGGTTTCCCTACCCTTCTGTAGTAGTGTACAAAAAGAAGATGGTGCCTTTCTGTTGGGGGGTGGTGGTGGTGATGGGAGGAGGCTGTGTGTGTGTGTGTCCCTTTCCTCCTCTCCCTCTCTCAGTCCAGCCAAAATGAGGTGTCCATTCTTCTATTTCACATGCAGAAGTTAGAATATATGGCCCACTCCTGCACCCTTCTACTCTCCCTACTTATGTTCTCTGGTTTGCCCTTTCCAGAATAGAATACAAAATTTTACCTTCTACCCTTCGCATTCTTCCATGTACTTGTCCCACTCTTTGCACAACCCCACTTAATTTGGCCTCCGAATATACTTTATTTTATTTATTTATTCTTCAAGCTTCATTTTTCCTCCTTTTCTCTAGCCCAGTATGTCTGTGTCATGGTCGTGCTCACACTCACTCACTCATCTCCTCATCAGATAGCAGTTCCTTGTGGTACATATATAGAGCTTGGTTATATGGAAAAAACCTAAGGGCAGGCAGTTGGAAAAACTCAACTTGATAGTGCAATTACGTAATTATTTATTACCCTCCACCCCATTTTGTATTTAAATCCTGAGTAATCTTCATGGGTCTAGGGCTCTATATTTCCTTTGTTTCCTAATATTTCTCTGTCTGTATTCCATACCGCTTTAGACTGTCCAAGTCACTTTTGCAGTTTGGTTTTGTCCTGCTATGTATTTTTGTTGCTATTTTAATTTTAGTATTGTCTGAATCTGATCATTCTTGTGTGAAAAAACAAATCCCTGGGTGGGTGGGAAGAGTCATGAAGCAGCCAGGTGGGCTTTAGAGAGATGACTGTGAGGGGATGGTGCATGTGTGCCTTAAAAATATATATATATATATATAATTTTTTTTTAACTCTTTGCCCCTTGGAAGTCTTGGACTGCGCTACAATTAGTGAAGCTTAAGCTATTGGAACAGGAATAGCTCTGCACACTTTCTGGCAGTGCTTTGTGGGCCACAGTCTGAGAACCACTGCGTCACCCTGTCTCCATCTCTTCTCAAACACTAGTTTTTTTTTTTTTTTTTTGTGGGTCTGCATCTCTCTGCAATGGGTAGAAGTAGTGGCAGTTTAAATTTATAAGCCACATCAGTTGACCAACAATTTCATTCACAACAGTTGAGAGATTGCAAAAGCTACTACATGCAGACTTTAATCTTTGTTCCACTAGATCGTCTTCCATAAGATGGCAGTTTCGGTAGATACATGTGTCCTAGGAAAAGATGGGTGATGCACAAACAGTATCTCTCTGAGCTTTTGCTACCTCCTGTAAGTTAGTCATTCTTGTGTGTGGACATCTTTCACTGCTCATCCAGAATTGCTGCCCGGAGACTCAAAATGACATTTCAAGTAGTCTGACGTACTGGTCAAATAGACTATCAAATCTTTCTACTTCACCAGCTTTAAAGAATACACTTAGAAGTGCTTATAAAGAGTTGTTTGAGGGGAAACCAATTATTTGGCTTTTGTTATTTTAAACTACATGAAATAGAAAAACTTGGATATTTAAGCTGTGAACTGCTAACAATCCTTTTGTAAACAAATTCCAAAATCATTGAGGATGGACAGATGTGTTGATGGATATATAAGGGAGTAGGACAGTAGATGAAAATGTACTGTCCTTTTAGTTCTGGACACTTCTGGCCAAAATGCTAATTTGAACCTAAGAAAACTTAGTCTTAACCTGGTCCTCTAGTAGTTTCTTAGCCACATAAAATTACTTTTGCCTGCTTTACGTGCTTCTGAGGCAGAAACTATAATCCCAGGAGATGCAGCATTTCAGGTCTGAGATATACTGGCAGACCAGTGTGGTATGTTCAAGCTTCTCTATCAGAACTAAATTCTTTCTAGTTCTCTCTTGTGAGAGGCACTCAATTCTTCTCCCCCCTTTTTAAATTAAAACAAAGCTTCCCCCCCCAACCTAAAATCATAAGGAGAAAAGCTAACCC